AAAAAAAAAAAAAAAAAAAAACTAGAAAGAAAAAGATAAAGGGAGGATCCGTCGTTGTTAGCATAGTCGCAGAGGGCAGACGTTTATTAGCGTAATCACACACACACAACAAACCTCTGTGCGTCCCGAACGTGTGATACTTGTTTAATACTCGCATCCCCGGTTAAAATATATTGCATATATAGACATGAATACCTTTAAGCATCATGCTCACAGGTATATTTCAGATTTGCATCTGCAGCATCTGCAAACAGACATTCACAGCATCTAATAGCCTATTTTTATAAACAAGCAATAGTTAACGGGTAGCTACCGGAGAACTTTTCTCGGCATCGCTTCACGTCCGAATTATTTGGAATAAACATCCATACAGAGTGACAACGTGTACAAAAACCCGAATTCAAGCTGCTGCCACTATTCTCGCCACGCGTCTTGATTCGTCTTGAAATAAAATGCGGGGTGTCTGAAAAAAAAAACTGGTCTATCTAAAGGAGGTGGAGGAAAAGATAAAATATGGTAAAATTGTCCTGTCAACGCGTAGGATCTCGAAGAAAGCGTATTTAATGAGATCAATGTCGTCAAAGGAACTGCCAAGAGCATCAATATATTATACTGAGCATTTTTATTTAAACTGGTAAGCCTCACGGAGAGTCGCAGAGATATGACAGTGTTTATACTTACATTGCGAGGAGAACTTTTCTATAAGTCGGAAGAAATTGTTTATAGCTGCAAGCAATATTAAATACTAGATGTATTACCGCAGGAGACGCATCGATTACATTTGCGGCCGATTGAATTTTGCACGAGAGAAAATGACAATTCCGAAAATTTCTCATAACTTATTTCATATTAAACATACATTTTCAGCACATCTACACTCAGAGAAAAAGACATTGCGGTAGCCCCTAATATAAATGACAACTATACTAGTTTTGTATGTAAAATTATAATGTATATAGTTTAATAAATTATTTTATTTGCGTCGCGACTAAAACTTGAGTTGAAATAACTGCAAAATACTTAATAAAACTATATACATTATATAATTTCTACATGCTAAATTCACATAGTTGTGTCACCACTTTTGGTCGCCACTTTTCTCTGAACGTACTAAAAGGACATCGTCTACTCTATTCTACCTGCCATAAGGGATCACCCTATGTAACAATAGATTAAACGGAGACTCGATACTTTTATATCTTACACGAGAACACGAATTTCATACAAACGTACAACCGTGTGTCTGCGACGCGTCAGACCGTTCGGTTTGTCGCATCGCGCTCTCAGTAGCTAGTTAACGGTAAGCGTAAAAACCCGAAAAAAGAAAAGGACAATATCGCGGTGGCAGGGTTTGAAGGGTGGCGTTTGATGATTTTATCGCGAAAGAGAAGTACCTTTGCACACGCTCACGACGATTCGAGCGGGCGAACGGCGGATGAGGAAGAAACTATCGTTATAAAACTTTATATGTGCGACTTCGTATGTCTATGTAAATAAATATACCAAGCTCTTGAGACTGACACCACCGTTTCGTGCTTCATGACAGCATCCCCGTCCCTTCGCCCCCATCCTCTGACTTCCAGGCACACGTGATGCACCGAGCGGCGACACAAAGAAAACTCTCGGGATCGATGGTGTTTATTAGTAATAATTTATTATTAATATCGTGATGTATCGTTCATACAACATTTTTCTCTTAATATCGACAATCGTCACAAATAACGTGTAAACGTGGATGTATATCGCGTACAAAATGCGCATGGAGTGTCGAGACAAAGTCGTGCCTTTTCCTCCCCTACGCGAATGTCTCACTCTGTACGTGCGTGTATATATGTCCGAGGGATATCTGATGGCGAACGAATTGGATATGTAGGGGAATTGTTTCACACCGTTCGATCCTGTAAAAAAATGCGCACTTGCACGCAAGTGGAAGAGAGGGAAGAGTGTTGTAACAATAGTGGATTGTGTGTCGCGATCAGAACGCAACGCGTCGCGGGATCTCTCCAACGGGTGCAAACTTCTCGCTCGCTATTCGGATCGGTGCCAATCTATTCATACATTACAGATATATTGCAGCATACATTCATATGTTATGAATATTTTATGAATATACACTACCTACTCGTACATCGTGTCCTTCACTCGGCGGTCGGTCGCATTTGTGCGGGATGTGCCGTCAAGCTCGTCAAGAGGAATAGCCGTGTTTCAGATCTCGATTGCCTTCTTTTCGCGGAAAATTTGGCGAAAAATTGCATTATATAATTCAAGTAAAAAAACTCATCTAAATTCAGACTTGAGTATTTCACGTAGGACAGCTTTCGAGTAACAACTATTAATACGAGTCCTAGAATCTCGTCTCTCAGCGGTCGCGTTATGATCCAAACGCGAAATAGCACTGGGAAATTATAGGGGTACTTGGTCGCGTGACCGTCGGCTCGACGCAAAGAGGATCCGTTGCACGCGACGCTATTACCGGGTGGTTTTAAATACGAAGGACAACCCGGACGATACGCGTCGATACGCGATGGTCGAGCGCAACCGCGAACCAGATCTAAACCGAGCCCGACCCCGAGCACTTCTTTCCGCACTCCGCACGCGTTTAGCATGTTCAGCCACGACGCACCGCAATGCGGGAACGCCACATTCGCGCACAAGTGGTGATAATTGAATTATAATTAAATCTAAAACGCCTAGGCGTAAGTAGGTAACTTCATGTAATCACGATCGCGAGTGAAAATTGTACCAAGGCGAATGGCTATCCGACTCCGCGACCTGGAATGACTTTTGCGAGTTTCGTCGGCCGCGTTCAGCAGAGAAATATCATCGGATGTAAAATTCGCGATTGCTGCAATCTGATTGCTATATACTCTGCTTTTAACCTTGATAAAATCTGTGAGTATATACCAATGAAATTCACGAATGTTATAACAGTTGCAAAGCGGCTTTCTCTCTCTCTCTCTCTCTCTCTTTGCTGAACGCAGCCATTGTGCAAGATGTACCTCAGCTTCTGGAATTCCGTGGCGCGCATCATCGTAAATGATATTGTTAATATGGTCATTCTTCGAAATCGCGTACCACGATCGTTTCACGATTTTTGTCTACAAGTTACAAAGATTATAAAACTCGACGTATGAGGGAGTTAGTTGACCCTGGCACGCGTAAAATGAGAATACAGAATGATATGTTGTCATATTCTCGAATAAATTTTACAGTTACACTATGAGGATTTATTCAAATCCTAGAGAAAGTATATGTATCTTCTTCGAGTGTATAAAGTTAAAAAAGATGAAAATGACGATAATCGATAGTGTCAAGCCCGATGCACGATTTCGAGGGAACACGCGGCCTCGCGCGTCGACGTCTCATCCTCCCGATATCGGGCCGCACATGAGTGTAAGCTCGTTATTTCTTTTTTGGTGTGGACCGACAAGTGGTATCCTGCGCGTGTGTATGTGCGCGTGTAACCCAACGCAAATGTAATATACATATACTCGTATATACATTCATATGTACGTACGCCGGTTGATACGTAAGGCGGGTGAAAGATGTTCTTAAAGTAAGCGGAATATTAGACGATTATTGCGTAAAAATCAGTGAGCGTGACCCGACCACGCAGTGGCCGGACACCAGCTTCCGGGTGGTCGCGAGCAAGAAAAACACCTGTTTACTATCTATCGCTACGACAAGCTATACGTTGTCACCGGAGTTGGGGAAGTTACGTCTTGAAAGCGACACTTATCACTGTTAATCATTTTGAAAAAAATAACTTGTTATCGTTACCGTCACTCACAAGTTATCATTATAATTTCTGTTAGCCGGACAGCAGAAATCACTAAAATATGTTAAATCTTAAAGATCTGAAAGAAATATCTGAAAGAAATAGGACGTTTCTTAGTGTTGGCCCTCAATCTTTCTTTAAGCTTTAAGCCGGAAGCAATTGACCAACTACAGTCGATTATACTTAAGACGTAAAGAAAATAATCGACTGTGATTAGTCAGTTGCTTACGGCTTAGAGCTTAAAGCAAGATTGTAGACCAAGACTTAGAAGTCTTTGAGACATCTTTTACACTTTTAGACTCTAGTACACTGCGCTCTGTCTGGGTATTTTTTTCATCAATTTTTGAAAACCTCTCACGACTCGCTACCGCCCATCTCATACACGTTCGTGTAATTTACATGCGCGAAGTCACGATAAAAAGTGACGATTACATTCATCGTTATTACTCAAAACATTCAATTGCGCTATCATTATTATCGTTACCAACAAGAAAATAAATACCGGACAGAAAGTCTATATATGCAACTTGTAATCTGTAACTTGTAATTTGTAATCTGACTTGTAAGTCGTGTAACTTATAAAATTTGTAATCCAAATCGTAATGCTTCCCAAACTCCTCCGATCACACCGACAGTACGCGGTACGTCCAGTTTACTACAGCGTGTACGAAACAACGTTCGGCGAATCTCATGCGTATGTGTGTGTGTGTGTGTGTGTGTGTGTGTAAATGTATATATACGGTGATCTCCTCGCCGTCTTCTCGTCGTCGCGGCTTCCCATCTTCGCGATTCGTCCATCATCGATCACGATCCACGAAACCGTCGCCGAGAAAGATAGAGATATCCGCCTCGCAAACGATTCGTCGTCGCCACCGCCCGCGTCGACGTCCCGATGTCCTCGATGAATCAAAGCCGCCTGGCATCCAGCGCCTTATTGAGGTCACTGACTAGCATACCGAGGACGGGTCTGTGCTCGGAATCGTATCTGAACACCGAGTCCAAGAATTTAGGATACGACAGGAAATCGAACACCTGATCGCAACGTTGCGACGACTTGTCGGTGAGATGCGGCTTTATCAGCTCCTGTATCAGAGACCGGCAACGCTCCAGGGACCCCGACAGGTATTCCTGGTCGTAACTGTAGTCCACCTCGTAGAACGAGACGACGGTCATCGTCATTGCCCCCAGAGCCTCCCGGATCTCCTCCAGCTTCTCTGCGTCGATGGGACGGAATTGGTGGCTGCGTTGCACGAGCCCGATCTGCGGAGTGCCGGAAACGTGTATTATTAATTAATTACACATATAATATATGTGTAATGTTTATATGTGTAATGTTTATATGTATGAAAAATATATAATTATAATATAAAATATAATTATATAATATAATATATAATTATATCTATAAATTAGGACATTTGAAAATGATCAATTTAGACAAACGACAGAGATTCGAGCGAAATCTTATTCGCTAGATTGAAAATTAAGAGTGGGATTTTATTCAGCTTTAAGAGAGAGGTGTTGGAAATTTTTAATAAAAGTAAGGTAAAACAATGTCGACTTTCCAGATGTTTAATTTTCCAGATGTTTTTCACGAGCTTTTCCTATTTCTCTGTTGACAATCAATCGACAAAGAATTCTTTTCTGACTTAAGAGAATCCTGTCATTGAAATGAGAAATTGAATGAAATTTTAACTTGAACTTGTTTAAGACTGCATTTTTCGGCAGGGAGCCGCTTTGACGCGCGAAATTCAATTGCGCTATCATTATTGTCGTTACCAACAACAAAATAAATACAAGACAGAAAGTGACATGCAACTTGTAATTTGTAATCTGTGACTTGCAAGTCGTGTAACTTATAAAATTTGTAATCCTAATCATAATGTTTCCCAAACTCCTCCGTTCGTCACCGACAGTACGCGGTATGTCCAATTTACTACAGCATGTACGAAACAACGTTCAGCGAAGCTCACGCGAATGTGTGTGTGTGTGTGTGTGTGTGTGTGTGTGTGTGTGTGTGTGTGTGTGTAAGTGTACATATACGGTGATCTCCTCGCAGTGTTCTCGTCGTCGCTTCCCATCTCCGCGATTCGTCCATCATCGATCACGATCCACGAAACCGTCGTCGAAATTACCTTAATGGATAACTTGACGATGTTCTTCAGGACTTTCTCGGGTTCCTTCTTGTCCAAATGAGGGTTGCTCTTGGCGATGCTCTCCATCAGCTTGTACAGGTTGTCGAGCAACGATGCCGTGGCGTCGTCGATGAAGAGCGACCGACCAGCCCCGGTGGACACTATGCGACCCAGCAGCTTCTTCTGGGCGCGCAAGCCCAAATCGCGAGTGCGACTTCCGGTCCCACCTCCGGCGGTGTACGAGCCGCCGCCGCCACCGATTCCGTTCGCCGACTGCATCACTGCAATTATTTTCGCACGCGGTAAACGACCTCAAACGAGGAGGAGCTTGAAGGTTGCTTTAATTCGACGAACCCCTCCTCCCCTCCCCAAATCAGCCACCTTATGCAGAGTCGCCGCCTGAGAGAGTCATTAAATTTAAATATCCTAAGTTATATTTATCAACATAAAACGCAGACTTAGCACGTTGACGTCAGCCACGCTAATTTCCATGGAAATTGTCCCGAAGCTAAACTCAAGTTTCAATGGCCAAAGTTACGGTAAGTACGCACCCTCGAAATTTCTTCAAGCGAAATTCCACGCGGAGTGTCAGCCGAGCCACCTGAATTCGAATGAATGACTTTTCACTCACACAGATTCGTATGAATAGTTATTACTTGAAACTCGTCTCAAACGAGAACACTCGGGTTCGAATTCAGAATTAAACGAGAGCTACTCGATTGAATCGCGACGATGTCAGATAAATTATAATTCAACTGAGAAACTTGGATCTAATTCGGAATAAAAATCCAAGTACGGGAGAAGTTTCAGCTGATAATCATTAATAGACGTTACTCGGAACTTGTCTCGCGTGAAACACTCATGTCTGAGTTCCGAGTTAAATGAGAGTTCTTCGATTGAATTACGAGCGTCACGAATAATTCAAATAAAACACATCGGGACATAATTTGAAATTCAGATCTGAGTATCTCATGCGAGACGAATTTCAAGTAAGGACTATCAATACAAGCCTTAGTAGCCGTCGGTCGGCTGAGACTCCATCAGATGAAGATATGAGAAATTTTAGGGAAGTAAACGACGAAAGAAAGATGGACTGATAAAAGCCGAAAATTCGAGATCATACTTTTCGACAGCGTGAACTTAACACGTGGACCGCCACACCGATTTCCACGATGAGAATTGTTTCGAAGCTAAACTGAAGTTGAAACAACCGAAGTTACTTACAGTAAGTACACAGTCGGATCATAATTTTCCACATTAACACCGCGAATTTCATCCAACTCGAAGAACCAACAAAGAGTGTCGAGGTGTAACAGTGTACAGAAGCACAATTGTCGTTCGATAACACCACGAATGTTTATTCACCGCGGTTTCCTCCATATAAGTCTCAATAATAGCGCGCCAATAATATCGATAAAGATTTAAATTTAGATTCGAGACGACGACAAGGAAACTTCAAACAGAAACGGAGAAAAGACGACGACGGAATCCAGGTGGGACACTGGCGGAATGCTTTGGAAAATTGTTGTCATCGTTGAGATTATGTGTGCGTTATTGGCAGGCGATTGCGGTTGGGCATGAACGTTTTTGCCAATCGTCTCGCACGTTGTGTACGATAACAGTTTCCGGACACGTGTCTAATTCTGAACATTGTGATTGTTTTCATCTTTGAATACAAATGTGTTTAAAATTCGTTGGGTACTAACAACGCGTGTTCACTTATACCAATACAAAATATCTTTCAAAGTAAGAAAATATACATTTTCTTAAATGCTGCTAGCTTTTCTCATGAAAGTAATTGTTTATTCTACTTAAATAAAAGAATTTAGAACCAAGTAAATATGTTGTTAGTGTACCTACTTCGAATAAATATTTGTTATTTTTTACAGATTTTTTCTTAATGTGTGTATTCAATATATAGAGTCCAGTAAGAATGTCCAGGATTAGGCAGGGGAAGGTGCTGTATGTTGGACCTACTGTACCTTTTTTTTATTGGGAAATAAAGTGCAGCCGAGTGCGAATTTATTAAAGATATACGACACCTTAAGAATTAAATACAGAATCAACATTTCTATTCAGGTACAAAGAGCGATGTATGTAAAATGATTCTCTGTCTATTGTACTTTGGATCCATATAGGTTATCTAATGACTTTTCACATTGCTAATATGATAATTCATTGTGTTTGCCGCGAGACTTCTTATCTATGAAGGTTACAGAGCCATGTGGTTTGTATGTGTGTCTTCTATATTATCTGCCAATTAAAATAACAAAAATAAAAATGGAAATGTCAAAAGAGGTCCAAGGTACAGCACGTTCCCGTACGTGTTCGGGCATTGATACTTCTATCTCATACCTTTCTGTGCTCGAATCATTGTGTTTTGAACCGACGAGCAAGCGCGTGCCGTTGACGATTGGCCAGGTTGACGGTTGTACCCTTCGATTGTTTTGCCTGCCAATTGTTTCGATAATGTCGCGCACCTTCCCTTGTCCGAAATATTATGTGTTTCGAGTCGACGAGCGAAAAGGACGTACACCGCGGCGCGAGACGCGTCAGTGTTTCATCTGCGATTTCTGTCGGGTGATCCAAATATTGAATCAGTATCTCGTCGGTGTCGCGTCAGTTAACACGTGTTTGTTTCATCGGCCGAGTTGTATCTGCGCGAGTGTCAGTGTCAATGTCGCGTATCAATGTCAGTGCCACGATGGAGTTTCTGGAGCAGTCGGAACTGGACGCTGAATCTTGCAAGTCGCGGGACAAAGGACGCAGGACGACGCGTCATGTCTCCAGGTATGTCATCCCAATCATTTTCTCAATTTCAACGGACATTCGACGAACTCACCGAGAGCAAGGAGACAGTCGAGTCGAAATGAAAGTAACCAACGGGTTCACAACTTCTTATCGCATGTTGAATTCGCTACACGTGTAATCGGTCACGCCTGCTGCGTAAATTAATGAGACGTGACGAACTTGTGGTCATCCCCATGGCGGTCTACGTCTCAAACTCGCTCATAATGTCTCGCCCGATGTTGAATGCGCCGCGAGAAGAAGTGGGTCGCCGGTATCCTCCTCGAATCTGAATTGCTTTAATAACCGAGGGAAAACAAAAGAATGACGCGAGGCGAATGTGGCGCAAAGGTGAAAAGTACGGCGACCTGAGCGAAACGTTGTATGATTTCCAGCCTGCTGAGAACGGCGGCGAAAGCGCCGGCAGCAGAATTCCTTACAGGCGCGATAAGGCGAGGGACCCCTTAGATAAAGTAAAATATGCGTGTTACTCACAGTCACGGCGACGTCTCGCATCGTCAAACTCACCATCGAGCATCGGTAGACCGGCGGTTTTCCTCTGGCCCGTGCGATTGCGGGAACGGTATACAATGAAAATAAAGAAGCGCAGCGAGCCGCGTGCGTTCGTGTGGGTGTGCGGGTGTCGTGAACCAAACTCAGGCAAACGTAACTAAAATCAATGAACAACTCAAAATAATGACAGTGGCGACGCAATGCAAAAGAAAAAACAAATGGATCGTGGATTCACGAGGAATGAATGAGCGTCGCTCGTTCACACGCGCAAAATTTCTTTCTATCTCTCTCTCTCTCTCTCTCTCTCTCTTTACCTTGATTGCAGTCGGTGACAGCCACCAGGTGGTAGAGCAGCCAGCTCTGCAATTCCATCACGGCCGTGCCCCACGCCACCTACGAAAATTGCAACGGAGATTTGTGAAAGTTCGACTTTTTTTCTTTCATTTTTCTTTGTTTATCCGCACAGAAACGCACACACTGCATTCGAGTGCAGTGTTACTCGTTTCAAGTGTTTCACAACAAGTTTGTGTACACGAAAAAAATATTGCAGTGGAAATTACACCGCAATATTTTCCGTGTGCATTTCTGCAATATTTTAAATATTGCACGAGAACTCGTCCCTTTGGTGCAAAGCATACGTTTCCTGAATTGGTAACAACGTTTGCAAAAAAAGGGAAGAGAAGACAAAAAAGATATTAACGTAGCATTCGCAACAGTTGAGAGATTTGCGAGGCAATCAATTGCGCCTCGTTACCGTCGATTAAGCAGCGCGTCACGATTAAGAGTCGAGGATACGAATTATTCCTTTTGCGATACGGAGATCGCGCGACGGGAACGTCATCGTGCAGGAAGCGGTCCTGTTTCAGCGTCGAGATGAGATAATTTCGCGGATATCTATTTGCCGCTCTCGCTCCCTCGGGGCAAAATACCACGGACTTGGTCTCTTTGCGTTCATCTCGTTCCTCGTAAATATTCTTAATAAAATGCCTCTCGTATAACCTTACATCGATGCCGCCAGCCTTGGCACCGATAACATTTTTAACAAAATATTACCTTCGAAGATGCGACTACCCGCATTCCTTTCATTTTTTTTCATTTATGTTAGACCTTCGGCCGTTTTACACACACACACACACACGCGCGCGCGCGCACACGCACAGATATATGTGAAATTTATAAAAATTTTCGGGGGAACAGCCGGAGATAGGAGCAATGTCGACATTGCGCCATGTCGCCGGCGATGAGGATCGCGGCGGTTCGTTATGCACGCTCGCGTACTAAATTAATTCGAGGAAAAAGTGCAACTGAGCTTTTTCCGACGTTTCGTTGCGCTCACGGGAAGAGAGAGATTCTGTAAACAGATCTCTCTGGAAATAGATCTTGCTACACTGTCCTTCCGCGACTCTTTGCCTTCTTACAACTTTTTTTTATCTCCAACGAAATCTTCAAGCGATAAAATCCATCCCAATAGTACCCGATATATCAGGTTGATAAGAAAGATCGTATTTTTCTTACAAAATTCCGTCTCGTTACTGCTTACTGAAAGTTACTGGTTTTATATATTAAAAGTGAGACAGAAAAATTTCATCGTATGTTTGAAGAAAACACTAAATTTCATCCCGCTGCATCAGGTCGATGCAAAATATTCGTTTATTTTTCTTATGCAAAAAAAACTTTCTCTAGGAAGTTGCTAAATCGAGTATTAAACGTGAAACAAAAGATCTTGTTAGATGTTTGGAAAAAGAAATACCCAAGTACAATTGCTGCATTAGATCGGTGCAAAACACTCGTCTTTCTTTCATCGTAGAATTTTCCCTTGTAGGCGGCTGCTAATTTGGGTATTAAATGTAAAAGAGGAAGACTTCATTAAATGCTTCAAGGAAGTGCTAAATTACAGTCGCTGCATCAGATTCGTGCGAAATACTCTTTTTCTTCTTCTTCCTTTCTTTTTGCAAAAAATTTTCTCTCGCAGGAAGCTAAATTGGGCATTAAGAATGAAACAGGAAGACTCCATTAGAAGAAAATACCAAAATTGCACCCGCTGCACTAAATTGGTGCAAAGTATTCGTGCTTCTTTTCTTTTTGCAAAAAAGTTTCCTCCCGTGGGAAGCCGCTAAATTGGGCATTAAAAGTGAAACAGGAAGAGCTCGGTAAGAGTCCGAGAACGTACACGAGTCACGTGCGCGTTTTGCTTCGTTTATTCACGATTTTTATCGATACTTGGAGACCCGATAATTTCGTTTCCAATTTTGCCTGCGTGACAGACACGACGACGACTTTTGCTTCGCACCGACCCGATGTGTACACGAGTGTCTCGCGTTCCGTGCGGGAGCTCGCGTATTTTCGGGCTCCCACGAACTCCAGGGATTCGCGTCGAGAGAGGCGATCGGCGCGGCGGCATGGCGCGTAGTCCCGTGCCTCTCCCATATTTGTGCAATTTGTCTCAACGAGCATGAGCGGTCCTAATGCTGGAAATGAAACGTAATGCGAGTCGATGTTCGTGTCGCACGCCACACTTGCCTCGCGCGCGCGCACGCACGCATGCACGCGCGTTTACGGTCGTGGTATAAAGGCACTATACCTTTCGCAGTTGGATCGATTTGTAAGGAGCGTCAAGGCGAGCCAGAGACTCTCATTCACCTTTGAACGGCGAGAGCGACGAGCAGCACAGCCGTGTCGATTAAAAACTTCAACGAAAATTCCCTCTGGAAAAGTCCCTCCGCTTCTTGCAGCTCGACTCTACGATATCAGACAGTCGGCGAGACTTATCGCACGCAATATTATCGCGAAATCTTATCGCGACGCGCGAAGGAGAAAATATCTCGAGTTAAGGTTCTCGGTTATGCGACAGAAGAGATGATTTGCGACTGAAAGATTTGGAGAATTAACGACACGGGTCACATAAATTATGCATGGGCGAAGCGTCGAGCACTCGGGACGAAAGAGAGACGAAAAAAGCACAGACTTCAGACCGCGAGAAACGTTCGCCGCGCGTCCGTGAAGAACGAACAACTCCGGCGACCAAAATGTACGATTTATTGCCGTTTGAATATTGCACGAGACGTACAATCACTTTGATTCGGTTTCGTTCCTTCCCTTTTCCTTATCGGGATTTCGATTAACCGCTTCCCCGTCGGAGTAGTGCTTCTCGCACGAAAACCGACCGTTAGCCTCGCAGTATTAATTTCCGTCTATTTTTAGCGGTGAACGAAACAGCGGGCATTCTTATGGAAATAAAATGGCGCTTTATCGTTGCCTCACGCATCCTGGCGATACGATACGGCGGATGTGCGTACATAAAAACCGTGCAAACCGTGCAGACGCGATACGAGAACGTAGAGAAATTCGGAAGAAGAAGAAGAAGAGATACGGTGCGTGAAGGGAACGTAAATAAACGAACGAGAACGAAGCGATCTCGGCGCACATTCCGGAGAAAATAGCCTTGACATTTTACAAAAATGAATTTCTCTCGATTGCAATGTGCGCGCATATTCGTGCGTCGTGCTGCTTGTCTCTCAACGGAGCCGTTTCCTCGGAATAATCAGCAGTTATGATGCACGAATCATGTGGATATATTGCGCGTAGAGATATGCGAATCAAAGATTTTTTTATATCGAATAGAATCGAATTTCAGATTTCAATTTTGAATTCGAATCGAATCGGTGAAATTTCACCCGAATCGAATCAAGTCGTTGAAAGAATTTTTAATTAACATAATTATTGGATTCAGTATGAAAATAGTGATTTCAGTATGAGAGAGATAACATTGATCATGTGATATCAATTCATTTTAAGGTAAGAGATATATAATATATAGTCGGTAAACGTGTATAGAATACAATTTCCAGCCTTGAAAGCTGCGCAACGGCACATATCAATTTGACAGTTATCGATAAAAGTTTATCTAGAAGCCATTATCTTTTTTTAATATTTTTGAAGAAAATCTTAATATATAGCAAACTTTTCAAGTCATGCTAATTCCCGTAAGGCTGGATGTCTTTAATAGTACTTCATTAATGCTAATGTGCGTGATTCGTATTTGAATCTTTTTGATTCAAAATTTTCGAATTCGGATTTGAATCATAAGGATTCAAATTCGAATCGAATCGAATTTCACTTGATTCGACTCGAATTCGAATAATTCGCACATCTCTAATTGTGCGTAATCGAAAAATTTATTTGAAACTAGGTTATAAGATTCTATTTTCCGAAACACGTAAAAAAATATTAAATTTGGTTTCCGGATTTGAGCCGCGTGGATTCTTCTTTGTCTGATTCCGACGTTTCATGAATATTTCAGTCCGTTTTATCAGGGGGAACGACCAAATCACATGAAAAAATCTCGTCAAATTGTGCACATGGAGAGAATATCGTAGCTTTTTATACATTTTTTTATACATTTTTTTTCAATTCTTTACTCTGTGTTTATTAACTTGATGGATTACAATCCAACTTGCCGATTCTGTAACTTTTAACGACAGTGTCATCGGCAGGAATAGACTGTCAGTAAGGTCTATTTTGCTGAGCTTGAACATA